TATGTAGACATTGGAATATATATATATAACTATATATGTATATCACTACATATAATCTATACATCAGTATATATGTATATCACTATACATCTATCTATATGTGTGTGTGTGTATATATATATCACATTTTCTTTATCCTTTCACCCTGTGATAGACATTTAGGTTGTTTCCACATCTTGGCTGTTATGAATAATGCTGAAACAGATATGGCATGGACAACAAAAGCAAAACCAGACAAATTAGATTGCATCAAACTAAAAAGTTTCTGCACAGAAAGCAAAACTATTAACAGAGTGAAGAGGCAGCTCACAGATCAAGAGAAAATATTTGCAAATCAAATATCTAGTAAGGGGTTAATATCCAAAATATATAGAAAACTCACAGAACTCAACAGCAAGAAAACAAATAACCTGATTAAAAAACGGGCAAGGGATATGAACAGACATTTCTTGAAATAAGAGGCACCAATGGCCAACAGATATGTGAAAAAATGCTCAACATCTCTAAACATCAGAAAAATGTAAAAATCACAATGATATGTTACCTTACATATGTTAAAATTAGAACAGCCACTTTCAAAATGATGAAAGATAAATGTTGGAGAGGCTGTGGAGAAAAGAATACTTGTACACTCTTGGTGGGAATGTAAATTAGTACAGCCATTTTGGAAAACAGTATGAGGTTCCTGTCACATAATTTGTGTGTGTGTGTATATATATATGTGTGTGTGTGTGTGTGTGTATGCATACATATACACACACACACTATGTATATATACGTATATACATATATATATGTATAGCTTTAACTTGGCATTTAGCGAGTTTTCCCATGATTCTTGAGGTCAGTGAACAATTCTTCTATCTCACAATAAGCACATAGCTTGCTTAAATAAATATGTCTGCTATTCTTGCTCTTGATGGTATTGATAAAAATAACACAATTTTAAAAGGAACATTTACAGTTTATCTGTTTTCTGGAGTGAAGGAGCAATGCAACAGAGTATGTGTCTACTGGAACAAAAGATTCCTTTGCCTAGATGTATTAAAAATAAAATTTTAAAATAAAAAAATTTAAATTTTAATAAAGTAAATGAGGTCAATTTCCTGACCTGCAGCTAGAAAAGTTAGTTCACATCAATCTTTGTTTTAATTCCCAGTCTCAGTGTCCTAACAGGGAGGGGTAGAGACAAACCACAGAGCTTGAAATTATGGCCATGGAGAGCATCCTTGATGCCTACCCTAAAATTTTCTTCTACTGTCTCTGTAAGAGGTAAAAGTTATTTTCTTTCAATTCTGGCAAGAATATCTTCCCCACTACATCTCCCCAGATCATCACATCTTCAAGGGTTGAACTGGTTTTCCTTAATCTTATCACAACTGTAGTTTAAGGTTCAATGGACTCTCCTCTGTGTGGCTATTCTTTCCACAAGTCTTCCTGCTTCTCCTCAGACTTGTATTCCATCTCTCCCTTACATAACAGCTAGAGGGTTTTTCAAAAATACAAATAAGGTTACTTAATTTCCTCAATTGAAATTCTTTTGGAAATGTCAACTGCTCTTAAAATCCAAACCTCTTATAGAAGTTTATGGGGGCCTTGAGTCATTCTACCCTCATCTTGCCCTAATCTTTCCTTGATTTTTTACATTCCAGCCCTTCTGGCCTCCCTTATGTCTTTTGGACATACCAAGCCCTCATTTTTCACCTTTGGTTATTTGTGTTTCTTTTCATTTTTCCTAATGTCCTTTCTCCAACTTATCACACAGCTGGCACCTGCACATTCTCCAGGTTTGGCTCTAACATCATCTCCCCAGAATCACGGTTTCAGACCCCAAAGTAATTATATTCTGTAATAATATTCAGATATTCAATTTTATTATCTTTCTTTCAATAAGCTCCATGAAGACACATTGCTCTTGATTTTCTCCACCAAGTATATTACCTAGTGCCCAGCACTTTTATGGCATATACCAGGTGTTCAAAAATATTTCTTGAATTTATTAGTGAATAAGTGAGCAAGACACTGTTCTGAAAGAAATCTAATGGTGTAGAACAGAAGAGAATCATTTTGAAACTTTAGAACAGACAAAACACTGGCTATGTCATAACTAATATTGCCATTTTCTCCATTTTTGCAAAACTAAACCAAACCAACAAAATCCCTAATAATCACGGTGACATGATTTCCACATTGCTAATGAAAGAAACTCAAATTATATCACAAACATTTTTCCTTATTTACATTTAGAAATAAGTGTTCATTTTTATCTTTGTTGAAACAATTATCTACAACAGACTAGATGCTGTGTTTCTATATTCATCTAGCATATAACACGGGTTTACTGGTCTTCAGTTCCTAGAAAAGTATTTTATCAATTGTCATGGGAAACAATTCCACCCCCTCATCCTCCCTGACCTAGGCAACCACTAATCTTATTTCTGCCTCTACAGATTTGCCTATTGTGGTCATTTTATATCAAGAGAATCATATAACATATGGTCTTTTGTGACTGGCTTCTTTCTCTTAGCATAATGTCTTCAAGGGTAATCCATACTGTAGCGTGTATCAGTACTTCATCCCTTTTTATTACTCAGTAACATTGCCTTGTATGGATGTGCCCATTTTCTTCATATACTCATCAGTGGATGGGCATTTGGGTTTATTCTATGTTTTGGCTATTATGCATAATGTTGTTATGAACTTTCATGCATATGATCTAGTTCTTATAGCATCCCATTATCCATCCTTTCAGTTATTCAAACCCCATTAACTTACCTGTGACATAGGTGTAATAAAAAACAAATACTCAATGTGTTTCTCTCTGAGGGTTAGGTAAAATGATGTACAAATTAGTTACGTATAGACTAAAAAGTACTTTGAAAATAGAAAGAATTTTATCTTTTTATATTATTTTCTCGTATCACTTATGTCAGATAACGACTACCAATTCCTTATACCATTTCTCACCACTGAAAGTACATTTTAAAAGCCAGGTTTCTGTGTGAAAAAGCTAGTTTAAAAAAGTAAAGAGGAAATAAATGTCATTATGGGTGCCTAGGCACTTCCGTTAGCTCTTATTTCCTGCATACTTAATATGTCCGAAGTACTGTGGAGTAATACAAGAAATGAGATTTACTCCCTGGTGCCAATTTGGGGACAATGCTTACACATGTGCAGTTATTTGAAATAATTACAAATTAACAAAATAAACTGCTATGTAATTTCATATGCTACATTTTTCATTCACTATATATATTCCATATTTAATTAAAGGGTTATTTATTAATCTAGACAAGCATTCCAAAAGGGTGAATAATAACATTCAAGATGTGTTGGTAGAGTGGAAATGGGGACAATTTATTTAAATATACATGCAGTGAAAAAGTTGGGAAGATTTATAAACAATCATCATGTGTAGGTATGCAATTTAAAAAAGAGAAGACAGATGATAGTGATAGATGGATGGACAGATAGCTGTATGAACAGAGATGATACACTGTTACATATTTATACTGTGACATCATAGACAAATCTCAATTACCAAACCTTGCTATTCTGAACATCTTTAAAGTAAACTATAAAAAGTTGAACTTTAATATGATTAAGAGGTATATATAAAGTAATTTTCCAGTGGAAATACAACTTTGCCCAACAATTACTGCATAGCCACTAAGTGTATTTAACTTTAAGGGGGGGAGGGTTATGTATTTTATGACAAGTGAAAATACATTATTGTTAAATAGGTCAATATTTGAAAATCTAGGACATTTAAAATATTTTCCCAAATTGATTTTACAGAGGTACAGCAACGAGTATACTGAAATCCACTAGAGGGAGCTGGTATTATTTATAAAGTTTTACTACCTGTACAGGAAAATAAACCTCTTAGCAAAAATGACTTTGAAGTACAAAAAAAAAAAGTATCCTTTGCTTTATTTAGTTCATTTCATTTTCATAAAAATGAAAAGCTGGGAAATGAGAAAAGCTTTGTGCATCACCACATTAATTCTGGAAATGATATTATATGGTGAATTCTTTAAATATTTACAAAGAAAAGCAATAGGATAATGTATTCTCCAACTAATTAAAGTTGTAGTAGAAAACAAACACATGTTCCTGTGCTTCTCATAACAAATTTGGGGCAGAGATTTTTTTCAGAAAAATACTTTTATCTTAATGCCTTCAAACCCAATTTTACTCAATAATTTTTTGTGTGTGCACATGAACACATATATGCATGTATATAGTGAATCAAAAACCCATATACTATTTCATAAAGGTGGTCATGAATCTGTCTCTGAAAAGAATGTCTTAAAATTAAGTTGATGAGTAGGGATATTTTGGAGCAAATACTATGTATTAACATCATCTTATTAAAGCAATTCAGTGAGAGACAAAAGAAACATCTTGAAAAATTTGCTAGTCACATGGTATGAATTTGCATAATTGCTCCACTTTTATCTTTTATCATCAAAGGAAAAAATAGGATTTATGTAATTATAGTGATCCAGTAGTAAAATGTAGCCCAAAGAATAATTTGTCCTTTGCTTAGTTTCAGTTGCCACATGTATGCTAAAGCTATAATACTCTTCAGATAAACTGAAAGAAGTATTAGAAGATGCCTAGCAAATATCCTTGTATGTACAGCGAGCTGGACTTAATGGAAGTATATTCATATGACCTCAACTGCTCTTTTATTTTCTTCTATATTCAAAACATCTGATTTTGAAATCTACAATCCACCAAGGAGAAGCTATGCCCATATAAAACATCTTTTATTTGTTTCTCAAAGTCAGAAATTATTGTGAGGACAAAAAAAAAAAAAAAAATCTAAAGACAGCTTATCTGCTACACCAGTATTTCATTCCTTGTTAATATAGGTTGTAGGGAGAATGGTTCCATTGACAGAAATCATTGTTTCATGTTAGTACTTTCCGGATTTCCCCACAAATAACCAATTTGGAAAATGTCAAGTTAGCCATTTTAGGTTTTTTACTTACTTGTCTGTAGCTCTTTCTCTCTGGCCTGCACATCAGAAAAGACTTGGCTAAAATGATTTGTAAAGGCCACAAAGTCTGCATCCAGGAACATGGGTCCTTGTCCTTTCTCTTTCAGGGCTATGCTTTGAATTTTTAATCGTTCAATTTGAGATTGAAGAGCTGATAGCCTGTTGACTTCATCCTGTGCCATAGAATATGGAAAGTAACACTTTTACTTTGCATACATTACATTTTGTAAAAGAAGGTATTAAAAAGCAGTAAGGCAAGTTTAGCTTAATACCCTTGACAAATATCTGATAAAAAAACATCCATGACAGTGTAGACAAGCCTCTATCACAGACCATCCATTTAAGGATACATTGGCTCTTTGTTCAGTACGTATCATCCTATATAATGATATTTAAATTTCAAGATGACATAATGTAGAGCATTAATGGGTATGAATGTGTGCAGTGGAAAAGTACTATGCATGACCTTCAATCCTTTCCATAAATCAAACATAGGTGTTTGGCTGCTCCCCTTTTACATCAAAATGATGTGCCTTTGCTTCAAATTCTAAGCTCACTCAACAATATTTTCTCTTTCATTTGTGCAAAATATGAATTTTATATATATACCTATATATATACACATCTATACTAAATTATAATTATATTTTGATATAATTATATAGATTACATACAAACATATATATAATCTATATAATACTTATATGTATGTATGCATACACACATATATAAAAATATATCTATAATCTTCTATCTTTCGTATGGTCTCATTACTTCTCCTGACCAAACAGGCAACCGCCACTTTTTTTTTTTTTTTTTTTTTTTTTTTTGAGACAGAGTCTTGCTCTCCTTGCCCAGGCTGGAGAGCAATGGCACGATCTTGGCCCATTGCAACCTCCACCTTCCAGGTTCAAGTGATTCTCCTGCCTCAGCCTCTGAGTAGCTGGGATTACAGGCATCCGCTACCATGTTCAGCTCTTTTTTGTATTTTTAGTAGAGACACGGTTTCACTATGTTGGCCAGGCTGGTCTCAAACTCCTGACCTCATGATCCGCCCACCTTGGCCTCCCCAAGTGCTGGGATGACAGGTATGAGCCACCGTGCCTGGGCAATTGCCACTATTTAAATTACTGTGACTCTCCACATTTCTTCTTGTTGTCCTGGCATAATTATTAGTAGTACCCTCTTTTGCTCTCCATAGTACCCTGGATTGTATGATAAAATCACATGAACACTGCTATGCTGTCACTAGCTCATGTGGCTACGGGTCGCCTGAAATGCGGCTGGTCCAAATTTAGATGCATTGAAAGTACAAAATACGTTTAATTCTGAAGCTGAGAACATAATCTCAAAGTTTTAAAATAGTGATTAAACTTTGAAATAATATGTTTGATAAATCAGTTTAACTAAAATGTACTATTGAAATTCATTTACTGCTTCTTTATCCTTTCCTAATGTAGTTTCTAGACCATTTTAAGTTACATATGCGGCTTGAATTCGTGGCTAGCACTGTATTTCTTTTGGTCATGCTATTCTCTACATAAATGTTTTCATGCTCTTGTTTCCAGTGAAGTTGGAATTTTTTGTATTTAATACACATAAAATTTGAACTGAGAAAGTTTTCACTGCCCTTTTTAAAAGGGTTATTATCATGGCTGCTTACTTATAATTCATATATATGCAGTCTTTAGAAAAAATATTTGAAGATTAGTTACTATTATGTAAAAACATGAAAATTGAAATTTAAAAATTGGAACATGAGCCTATTAGAAGAGAAAATGGAAAGAATTATAGCAATTCTGAAATGAATTTAAATCTGAGCTTCCTGAAAATCAAAGTGAAAGGGCAAAAAAAAAAAAAAAAAGTATTTATGGAAGCATTCATACTCTTTTGGACAGAGAGTAACTTTTGTCTTAGGAGTGGCTGAGAAATTCATCACATAAATTCTGTCATGGTTACAAGACTAATGCACAATGCCATTTATTCTCATGTTAAAAAATATAAATACAGCTTTCAGAGGAATGTGTTTATGTGGTTATAACAGTATGAGTTGACTCAGGTAAAATAATCTCTGATGATTCAATCTTTTTGATGGGTGAAGATTAAAGATGTTTAGCAAAATGGGGAGGTGGCCTGTATTTCTCATTCAAATATAAATCCTCTCAAACAAGTGCTAGAAAGTTGGTATATATCCATGGATAAGAAATAAGACAAGAGGTAAAGGGTAATATTCTGTATTTACAGTACAGAAATATATACACATACTTTGTATACTAGATTTACAAATGGCAGCATTGGCATCTACTATGAACCTGATTTATAATTGGTCCAGATAGAGGACTGCCATTCTTCCCGTTCAGGGGGCTATAGAAAGAGCCAACATTATGGCCAAGTGTGCTCTGAAAAACAAAAGGGACTTTGAAACTAATAAAACATTTGGGCAAACGTTCAGTTGAGACCTTAACGTTCTGAGAATAAATCATAGAAGACATAATTTTCAACTGAAGTATTCAGCATATGAAAAGATGTTAACAATCAGCCATTATCTCCATAAAAGGATTTGGTATAGTTGGTCCTCCAGAGTATGGTATCTACTTTAAATCTGTTTATCCTTTAAAATTATATGCTTATCTCATGGAAGCTTTTGTATTTTTCTCAGGAAAGGGTTCATGAATTTCTTCCAATTCTGATAAGGCTCTCTAACCTCCAGAATATTAAGAACCAGTTCTGCCAAGCATTAGAATATGAGCTAAATATGCACTCTAATGTTATAAAACTCCAAATAAAAGAAAATGCTGTGAAACATGTTATAATTTATTTGCCTATCACTAATCACAGCAGAACAGTATACATATTTGCCCTTGTATGAATAATATTAAGCTTATCTTGCTAAATATTTTACCTAAAGTGATTCTTCAAATTAACAGGCACCAATGGGTCTGAGAGAAAGAGTAAGGGGTGATAAAGAGGTGACAACAGAATCTGGAATTTTGTGGCTGGATGCAGTAAAAGAAATATTTTCCCTTAGGATGACTTCCTCAACCTCCAGACGATATTTACTATATAAAACCTCTGGTGATCTCCATTTGCTCCTCAAATTAAGACCAAGATACTAGCAGGTCCCAGAAGTCAATGGTTTGTCTCCTATATGCCTGCCTTTTCCTCTTCAACTCTCCTCTCATTCCTCTGCCCCGCTACGTTCAGCATTTGCAATGGTCTTCATTCAGGTGCTTGGCCTTTATTGCTCCCTCTCGCCATGTTCCTTCTGCCTGGAGTCTTTCGCTTCACCGTTCTCTTACCTAATTCCAACTCATCACAAAAGTCTCAACTCAAATGCTCCTCTCTCAAGGAAGATGCCCTTGGTGGCCCTATCAGGTTCGTTTTTCCGTGTTAGTCATTCTCCCAAAGCTTTGCATCTTTGTTTAAACAACTGATCCTAGCAGAAAATTTAAAAATATTGATTCCATTGTTTCATATCTCTCTCCTCTGCTTTCCGTAAATACACTAAAAGCAGGGTCCTTGTAATGCTCACTATAATATTCCCAAAACTTAGTGCTATGGGGTGAATGGTGTCTTCCAAAATTTACATGTTGAATGAAGTCCTAACCATCGGTGAGACTGCATTTGGTGATAGGACTTTTAAGAGGTAATAATGTTTATATGAGGTCATCAGGGTTGGGGTGTAGTGCCTAATCCCTTAGGGATTGGTGACTTTATAAAAGGAGGCAGAGAGAAAGAAAGAAAGAAAAATAGCCCTCTTTCTCTCTCTCTCCATGTATACACACAGAGGAAAGCCATGTGAAGACAGAGTGAGAAGTTGGTCATCTGCAATCCAAAAAGACAGCCATTACCAGAAGATGAAGCTGAACCCTGCCAAACCTTGGTCCTAGACTTTCTTGCTTCTAGAACTCTCAGAAAATAAACCTGTGTTGTTTAAGCCACCCAGTCTGTGGTATTTGTTGTGGCAGCATGAGCTGATTAATACACTCAGTAGCATTCTTAGAAACATTAGAGACACTTTATATATATATATATAGAATGCATAAATGTACTGTGTAGGCACTGTTACTAACTACGGTATCTGAATCTCAAGAATCAGGTAAGGTAACATCAGACTTTTGTTGCAAGAAATAATGTATTTGTATTATTCCTCTGATTCATAGGAAAAATGACATGGGTTCTATTCTTAAATTACAAAATGTATCTAAATGTAGAAATTCCTTAGATGTGTGTATTTGCCTAATAAGTCAAGTGCCTTATCCAAGGTATTCTTTATCCAAAAGCATACTTTCTGAGTTTATTTCCTCAGTAAACTAACGTAAGAACAGAAAACCTAGTAATGCTACAGGTCCAATATTTGAAGAACCATCAAGTCCTTCAATTGTTTTTCTCTTCAATATAACTTTGAATTTCTCATCACTTTTTGGGTCCAATACCTTTTCTAAATCAACCTTGTCACTTTTGCCTGTCTATTCTACCTTTATTTAAACCATTCTTTTTAAATTATGCAAATGAATCTCCATTCCTTGTCTTTTGTATTAAATGTAATCCTCTCCATCTATCACTAAAGGTTCATCCTGGAAATGTTTTAGTCCATCCTCTAATCAGTTTCTCATTCCCCGTGAAAAGTACATAGCTCATAGTAACAATGACAACAGTTTAGGCTATTTTCATTATTATACAGCTCTTGTTTTCTCACACTTGAAGGCATAATATCTTTTCATTTCTTTCTCACACTCTTTTGTCCACTTATATCTTGTTTGCTCCTCCAGATCCACTGTCCACTCTTCTCCTGTAACCCAGGAGACTGATATTTACAGATGACAGTTCCTTGTCCTTTGCCTTATGATTAAGTTTAGAGCCCTGACAAGATTCTGGAGGCAGGGAAAAAAGAGAAGTGGGGTGTTTATTTTTCTGACTCCATTTCTATGAGGATTCCTTAAGCTGGCCATGCTGCTTTTACCATGAGGATCTGACTCTCTCCTTCTGAGTTTTTATAACTTCTCTCTCCCTGATCCTTTCTGGCCTAAAAGAGGTAAGAACTCTGAAGCTGGGTTACTACACTATCCCGTGTGGTTCCTCTATACACCAGCTACATTTAAAAAATATCTCTTTGTAAAGAAACTTTCCTCAAATTATCCTAATTTGAGAGGTCCATCAGTTTTAAATATTTTCCTTATGTATCCAATTATATCGCATCCAAGCTTGTTGTTGACCCGTGTTTCTAACTATTTCCATGGATTCCATTTTTTCAACATATGACTATGTTTCACTAGTCGCAAAGAAAGAGTTCCTAGGTAGAGGCCATTTTTTATAGGATACATGTGGTTTCCACACTCCTAATCTACCTCATGCTTTTGCAAACCGACACAATCAATTAGCTCTGTGTAACTATGCCAAATACAATTTTAGAGTCCGGGTATCTATGTCTTACATATTTAAACTGATTTTTGTTACCTACATTTTGAACTTTATTGTGCTCAGCTAAATCCTTAAAAGGTGAACGTTTCATTACTAAATAATTTGTTATTGTCTTCTTGGAAATTGCCAAGAAATACCTATTAATATTCTCCAAACGGAAGGAGGAAAGATTCTTACCTTACATATTTTTAACTGACTTTTAATTGCTGTTGGCTCTGATGGGGTGGTGGGTTGGATTTTCAACCAGTTTTCAGCAGTAGTTGTCATCTGCTCCAATTGTTGTAGCTGATTATAGAAAGTGATGATGTTGTTCTGATACTCCAGCCAGTTAAGTCTCTCACTTAGCAACTGGCAGAATTCGATCCACCGGCTGTTCAGTTGTTCTGAGGCTTGTCTGATGCTATCGGCATTAACACCCTCTAGAAAGAAAAAAAATAATTAAATATATCCCCTGAACCCACAGAATGAAAGAAATGATCTGAAAATCAACACATCCTAATTATAAAAGTATTCACCACATGAATGATTTCAAACCAAATCAATTATTTTCTAAGATATAAATGTGTAAATATGATTTCAGATTATTCATTGTAATTATTAGACTTGTATCACAATAAAGATTATCAATGCCATCAAGTAATAAGACATAAGATGTAGAAAAGTAGAATGTATTTAAATAAAATATTAAATAAAAATTTAAATAAAAACAAAAGTGCTCAAAGCTCTGATGGGAGCTGGAAGGCTGATCATGAACAAGTAAGATTTTGGATGTTTTCAGATACATTTTAAGTATCATGTACATTACTCAAATATACTTCCCCGAACTAACTTACATTTTTAATTTTTAAAATGGGCTTGGAAATTAGTTTAAATAGTATTTTCATCATTTTAAAAAGAGGAAACTAATTATCCAAGATTAACTATTCTTTATTTCATTTATAGAAGACTAGAAATAAACAGACTGTCAGCTGGGCGTGGTGGCTCACGCCTATAAGCCCAGAACTTTTGGAAGTCGAGGCAGGTGGATCACGAGGTCAGGAGATCAAGACCATCCTGGCTAACACCATGAAACTCTGTCTCTACTAAAAATACAAAAAATTAGCCGGGTGTGGTGGCAAGCACCTGTCATCCTAGCTACTCAGGAGGCTGAGGCAGGAGAATGGTGTGAACCCAGGAGGTGGAGCTTGCAGTCAGCCGACATTGCACCACTGCACTCCAGCCTGGGCAACAGAGCAAGACTCCATCTCAGGTTGTCCATGGATCCAAGTAAGTAAAACAAGTACTAGGATAAATAATCTTTCTAATATGAAACATTTTTAAATTTATAAATGTAGAAGTTCATCTGACAGTTTTAAAATCATCTACAGTAATACCAAACCCAGAAAACTTTATCAAGGGAAAAATGGAAACACAAGCACATCATTGTCACCATTACCATTCTGGAGTACCTACTATGTACCATGGAATATGCTATGTCCTTTCATATATGATGAATGCCAATCCAAGTACATATTATTCCACACATAGCATGAAAGCATGGAAATATCATGCTATGCTATGGGTTAAAATATTCAAATTCTCTAAGGTTAGTTTACAAAATTTAGACTTTCTTAGATTTATTAGCTTATGTAGTTTTCTTAATGACAGAATATAAAAGAGAAAATAGATTAAATATATCATGCATTTTTAAACATAGCTACATTAGCACTGGTAACTTTCTTATGCTTTTGAAATACTGAATATTTAAATGTTTTATAGTCTCTCATTTACCTACAGGGATCTCAAAAGAACATGAACTCACCATAAGTTTCTCTCTCTAGGTTAAAATACCTAAAAGGTAGAAGAGTAGGTTGGTAGTAGAAGAGTAGGTTGCCTAAGATAATCTACTCTTATAAATGTTCATTTCACTTAATTTTCTGGTAATATAATTTAGTTAAAGGGAAGCTAAGTTCTTAAAAAGTCTGAAGAGCATCTCTAGAAACATAAGGCCTGTGGTTTTGTTAACTTGTACATGCCTCCCACTTTATCCTTTTTAAAGACTAAAAAATATATAGATGTGAATTCAACAACTACATTATTTTATCCTCTTTCACTTCCCTCTGCCCTTATATTCTAATGTTCTATTTGTCATAAAGATATTAATGTTGCCAAACCATGTCCCTCAATTCATTTGAAACACAACTGTAACTTTACTAATTTCAAAGCATAATGCTTCTCAGGATGGCGGTGAAGGAGACAAACTTTATTTAATACAAATATTATTGTCAACTATTTTCCCCTCCTTCTTCCCTGATATATTTTTAACGAGATACAATGGAAATAACAGAATGTAGAAAGAGAATATATACATGGCTCCATATATCTAACTATAAAAGAAGTCCGTGATTTGCGGCAGCTAAATATTCTAATATCCTCCTAATACTTAAGGAATAAATTGGTCTTACTGAGACATCTGCACATGTGGTATGACATGCTGTTTTTGATTGTTGGATTTTGAGGAGTGATCAAAAATTGTACCAAAATATTTTTTAAGCGATACCATTAAGTAACTGTAGTTAGAAAATGACCACATTTGGTATAAAGTATAAGAGAAGAATAAGAAACTTCAATCATATGAGCACTCTGTTTGTAAAAAGTATTATGATAAAACCTTAACATTTCTGGAAAATAAAAAGGTATAATTAAAAAATATACTGGACAGAATTTTTAAATTATGTTACTTAATAACAAAAAAATGTGGCATAGATCTAAATGATCAGATATTTAGGAGAAGTATTTTTGGCATATGTTGAACTTGAACAAGTAGTTAGAAGTCCATGAAGGGTGAAAAGTCAACATAAGCCAGCCATTAAATAGTCAAAAAAGAAATGCTAAATTAAAGGGATCGATAGACTGATGCTAGATTGAGTCTTATTTAACACTTGTCTAAATGAGAAGGGAATCCAGAGAGAAATCACTTTGTGTCCCTGAGAAAGGTCAACAATACAAATCGTAGCAGATGAAAAAATAAAACTGTAAGTTGATTTTCAATATGGATATGTTAATTTTATAAAACGATAAAACTATAGTGAAGTACCAATAGGTTCTACAGTATCTATTAAAATCTAGGGATGGGTTTTAACGAGTCATTGTTGATCTTTACACAAAACTCTGTGTTGTGTCCCCCAAAAATGTTGCAATATATCACTGTAAAAGAAATTTAAATGAAGAAAAGTCAACTTTGTAAAAATTCATAACACTGATATTTATAACTGAATGCAGGCAATTAAAATGCAGGGATAGATCAAATAACAACTTCCATAATAGCAAAAAGGGCGAGGCAGGCAGAAAGGCAGATAAATGACCAGTGAGAATTCTGATGTTAAAGAGATGGGAGTTCAAATTTGATGCCCCTTACTAGATGTGTGAAGTGGGTTCAATTATTTAATTTCACTGGATCTCATTTTCCTCATCCATGAAATGAGGATTAAAAATAGAATCAACCTCATAGGATACTTATCAAAGTTCTGAGTTAACATATATAACTTACTTATAATAAACGTTCACACATACTAGGCAACAAAGACATATCAGACAATGTCATATGGAGGAAATGAAAAAGAATATTCAGAAAACAAGAGACCAGATCTCTTGTGCAAAAATTAGGGGGAGAGGGAGTCTTCTTAATGACTGAGACAGACCATATATAAAAAGTTAATAATACTATTTTACAATTAGTCCTAATTTTATATAATACAGGACTAATATGGGATATAGAAGGTGTATTCATACATTTCTTAAAGACGTTTTACCAATAACCAGGGATCCTTTGAGCCCAGGAGTTCGAGGCTGCAGTGAGCTATGATTGCATCACTGTATTCTAGCCTGGGCAACAGAGCAAGACCCTGTCTCTAACTAAAATAACAATAAAAAGAGTTTATTTGAGAATCCTGGATTTTGCCACATTTATAATCATTTGAGAATGAAGTTACAAAGAAACCAAAAATTTCAAAAAGAAAATGTAGAAATTTCTAGCTGTTACTAGAAAAGACATAATGTTGGCCACAGATAATCAGAAGTCATGTTATGAAGGATTTGTATGCAAACACTGTATTAATTCATTGTGAATACGCTGCCCGCTCAATAAGGGCATAAACTGTCCTTCTAAACTATAAACTCCTCTAGGAAATGTCTCCACTGGCAGTATCTGATAGAATTCTCAGCTTGGAGTAGAAAGAAAATAACTACACTGTACTCATGAACTCATTCAATACCAAATCAATAATGTACTCTATATGAATATAAAAATTATGAGACCAATGTACACTGAAGCCAAAAGCCATATACAAACAAGCACACCATCTCTCTTGCATCAAATTTGCTTTAAAATACTTGGGCAGGGGATGGGAAGCACTGTCACGTGTCACATTACTTAATGTATCTCTCTTAAAATTAGAAAAGCTATTACTTCAACTTTGTAAATTAATTGACCATTTAGATGCCAGGACTACTGTTGATTTTCTAAGAAAGACCATTAAAACCTTTCTAGAATAAAAAAGGGTTCAAAGTGTTTTCCAAGAAAATATTTGCATATGGATAATTTTGTTATTTATATAATTGTTTTATGTGTATTTCATAGAATTATGCTCCTTGGCTGGATGCAAAATTGTAAGTTTTTTAAGAGTTTGTAAGTGTAAATATCTGAAAAGTTTTAGGTATCAATCATCTGAGCATCTGTTTTCTAATTTTGTGTTAGCTATTTAAGAATACAAATACTAACACACCAGGCATTATGAACAATACTTATGGAAACCATTTTGTTGTAGCACATTAGAATCTCAGGGATAATGGATCATAATCCATTCACATCTCATATTCTAAACAACCCCTGAAATAGTCTATGAATAAATATATTGCACCCAGAGGAAATGGATCATTACTTGAAGTGCATCCATTAATTTTATTACTTGTGTACAGTGCATAACAGACTGTTAGAATAATTTTAATTGTGCACCACCTTCCATGCAAGTACTTCAGAACTGCCACTTAAAGTGAAGTATTTCTCATCAACTATATTCATCGTTAGCCATGAAGCCAGGGTAGAATAATGCAAAACCAGTGTTTCCAGAGCTCTTGAATTAAAAGAATATTTGGAATAGAAACTTGAAATAAAGCTGCTAATAAACAGTCTCCTATTTTTGTTGCACTTTAAGTGAGGGTAATTACAAGTTCATTCAGCATTCAATATAATAGCCTAAAATGTAATAGAGATATATTCAAAACCCTTGAAGACAAGTTCTGAGGCTAAATTTTAGAGGCTTCTGTGACCACACTGACTTAAAGTAATAGCTTTTAAAAATTAATGGTATATATGAAAGAAATAGCCCTAGTGAGGGCAATACAAATTTTACTAATATAGCCCTTTGGCTTTTTTTATTTT